GCAATGTTGCGCAGGAACACAACTATCGCGTTACAGCAGAACTCCCTTGTATTTAACAGTAAATAATAAGGATTTACCAGCTCCAAAACCAAGTTATTTGCAAAGCTAGAGTCACTTACAGGTTATCATGACAAAGTGAAAAGGAGTAAGGATTTTAATGTTTAAACGTAACTGGTACACAGTGGATATAAGTATTCCCTTGTCAAAAGGACTTTTCAGCACATGCCGTTAGTGATTAAATTGTAAAGAACTGAAGAGTTGTAGGTAAAATTCAATTACCCCTGAAAATATGTTTTTGGAAACATAGTGCATTAAATCCTTGCATAACGTTGTCTTGCTTAACTTTGTTTCATACTAACATCGTTCATAAAATAGTTTCAAAATATCCATTTAATGTTGCGAGTTTTTCTTTGATCACAATTAACTCAGAATCAGAATTGTTATGATGCAGAAAGAGCCCATTTAGCCCACCAAGCATGTGCTAACTCTTCAAATGAGCATTATTTTTTAGTGCCAATGTCCTTACTCCACATTTCCAGGCAGTGCATTCCATACTCTTAACTGTATTCTGTGTGAAAACCTTTTATGAACGGGAACTGCTTTAATCTATCTACTCCAACCAGCCAGTCATGATTTTGAAAACTTCTATCAAATCTTCTCTTGGCCTTCTTCTCCAAGGAGAATGGTTCAACTTCTCATTCCTGGAACCATTCTTGTAAATTATTTCTGAACTTCCTTCAGTGCATTCAGATCTTTCCCAAAATGTGCCACCCACAACTGTATACTGTACTCCAGCTGAGACCTAACAAGACCTCATACAAATTCAACATCAACTCCTTGCTCTGGTACTGTATGCCCCTGTTAATAAAGCTGAAGACATTGTATGTTTTATGAACTGGTCTCCACCCAACCTGCCATCTTCAATGATCTGTGCACGTATACACCCAGGTCCCTCTGCTCTTGTACCCCCTTTAGCATTGTACACCCTATTTAACATTGTCTTTCAATGTTCTTCCTACCAAGTGCATCACATCACACTTATGTGCGTTGAAAGTCATCTGCCACCTATCCATCCATACCACCAATTTGTCAATATCCTTTTGGAGTTCCACACTCTCCTCCTCACAATTACAATATTTCCAAGTTTTGTGTCATCTACAAACTTTGAAATCATCCTCTGCATACCAGGATCCAGATTATTATTATATATAAGGAAAAATATCCCTTTCACCAGTGTTTCTGCCTGTTCTCTCATACGTGAAGTTCATCTTCTCCAAATTCCCACCCTCTTTTCTTCCATTTAAAGTCCCCAGTATCCAGAACCACAACTGGGAACTTTCCTATGTCTCCCAGCATGCTTCCAGGATATTTCCTGCCCTAGCTTCTGAAATGGCTCCTGGCCTTGAACCGGCTCCTGGCCTGCTGTCCATGGCCTCAGTCTCCATTCTTCCTGGCTCCTATTCCTCACTTTGTTCTTACCTTAGTTCTAGGATCTGTTCTTCACTTCTGGCTCTTGGCTGCTGTGTCCCATTCTGAACCGAGTTGGATAGCCTAGGCTCAATCTAGTGTCAGAAGTTGGCCAGTAAGCGTTGTCCAAATTATTTAGTTTATACCTGTAATGATCACCTTTTACTAGATATAGGCTTTTCAATATGAAAATACTGTACACAGACAGAAATTGCTGGAAGAATCCAGGAGGCCTGTCAGTAACTGTGGAGAAAAAACAGAGTTAAAGCTTTGGGTACAGTGCTGAAAGGTCGCTGGACCCAAAGTGTTGACTTTATTTTCTCTCCACAGATGTTGCTAGACCTTCTGAGTTTTTCCAGCAAATTGTTTCTGATTCTGATTTCCAGCATCTACAGTTCTTCTGTTTTTTTAAAAAATACTGTACTGTGAGGGGGTGGGGAAAGAGGTAGGTCGAGTTTACCATATTGAGTAACACCAACAGTGTTGGTTTGATTCCTCACCAAATGCAGTTATGATGAAAGGTCATACTTTCTCAATGTCACCTGATAGCAGGTGACCCTCAAGTTACACCAACACCAGTCATCTCTCTCTCTCTCTCTCTCTCTCTCTCTCTCTCTCTCTCTCTCTCTAATGAGAGACTGGTACTGTGGCTACACTACTGCAAGGAGGTAATTTTTTTCATGATTTTGCCTTGTATTGTGTTGCTTTTGTGATGTAATGATGTGTTTTGCAATCTATTTCAGCTAGCAATGAACAGCGTTGAACATGTGCAACGCAGTGTATTGCTTTCTTTACCAGCTGGGAAATGCGCAAAGGAATTTAATCCTAGCATTAGCATTGACTTCTACGGGAACTATGATTCACTTAAAATTGTTTCACTTAAAGTCATGGAAGTCTCTACATGATTAAACTACTCCTGAGGGGGTCTCGTGGTGAAGTGGAAGTGTCCTTATCTCTGGACCAAAAGGCCCATGTTCAAATCCCAACTGCTCCAGTGGATGTTGTAACATCTGTGAACATATTGATTAGAAAATATTTTAAACTACTCCTGAGTATTTTCTTGCAGAAACCACACTAAGCAGGTGCTGTTTGCTCCGTCACATTATTACCTCTTGCAGCCAGTGCTGAGCACAATGTTCCTTGGCTGCACACATCCCAAGGGGTTTGAATATTGTGTGTCACTAGCACAATTTAAAAACTGCTTACTTGTCCTAAAGGGGACAACAAGGAATGTTTCAACATGCAAAATTTTTGATAATGCAGCAGAGACATTGATGTGCAACAAGAAGACAAGAGAAACATACAACAGCTGTGGGAATGGGGTGATAGGTGTGCAGGAGACCCACCTGCTAAAGAAGCAGTGGGAAAATGTAACTCCGTTGGTCAAGGCAAGAATTGTAGCCCCAGGTAGTTGGATATAGTGGGTGAAGAAATTCCACCCTCTCAAAATTTTTCAAGGTGGTTGATTACAAATGGAATTTCCCTCACAGCTAAATTTACTACACTCTTTTATTTACCTACTAACAATCTCAATCATTCAGTATTAACCCTTTTAATTCGTTTGTTGCCTCATCTTCATAAACTTAGCATTATTGCAGGCATCCTAACTGTAGTTGGCAATGTACTGGCAGCTATTC